TATTTTCCATTTCCGCTCGTATACAATATTAATTTATTAATAATTAATACCAATTAATATTAATTTTTTAATTAATATTGATTTTTTTCTTTTTCTTCAGACATATACAACTTTTTATTTTTTAATTAATATAAAAATATACAATATGAATTTATTAATAATTAATACCAATTAATATTTATTTTTTAATTAATATTGATTTTTTTCTTTTTTAATTAATATTAATATTTGGGTATTGAGGAGGGCATTTAAGTAATTTTAGGCCCCCACACCAACTGCGTGCTTAAGTCGAAAATTTAAGCACCCCTTAACCAGCTTTTGAAATAACTGAGAAATAGCTTAATTTAAAGTATAAGCTGGTTAACTTAAACTGTACCAAACACAAAATTTTAACTTAAATTAATGCCTCGTTTGGAAACAGGCTAATTTAGTAATTTTTTGGCTATTGGCTAAAATATGAACTAAAAAAAACTGGTATGTTTGGGATTATTTTTTGGCTTTTTACGAAAAGATGTGCAAAAAGTAGAGAGAAAAGAGAATCTTTGACTTTTTAGTATGGGTTGTTGACTTTTTGGTTAATTTAGTAACTTTTTGACTTTTTAGCTAAAAAGAAGGGTTCCCAAACGAGGCCTAAGTTAAAAGCTAAAATAAACAGCTTATAAGCTCTACCAAATAGGCCTAATATACTAATGGATGATATAACATAATTTTATTAATTTTATATTTTATAATTTATATAATAGGTGGAATTCATAATTTTAACATTACATTATTATAACATTTGTTAGTATACTAATTGGTATAATAATTAATGTGTAACACCATTGTAAAAAAAAAAAACCACTTAAATATGTAAATTAGTTAACCATCACCTTCAAATGAGGCAACAAAGGAAAATTATTTAATAATTCCGGAACACCACATGGTCATATTATAAGTTAATCATCATTTACTTAGGTCTCGTTTGGCAAGTGACTATTTTAGCCAAAAAGTCAAAAAGTCACTAAAAAAATCAAAAAGCCAACAATCCATACGAAAAAGTTAAATATTCCATTTTCTCTCTATTTTTTGCACATCTATTCGTAACAAGTCAAAAAGTCATCCCAAACATACTAATTTTTTTTGCATCACATTTTAGTCAAAAAGTTAAAAAGTTACTAAAAAAATATGTTCCTAAACGAGGCCTAAGTCTCATGTTATTTTTTTATCCCTAATATAAATTGTGAACTCTTATTTCTCTCTACTAATCAAAATTTTATAAAATATGACGTATTTATATTTTGAAAATATTAAATACGGTGCTGATTGAGGGCCCTAAATTTCGGGGCTCGAATGTCCCGAAATTCCATTTTAGGTAAAAAAAAAAAAAAAAAGGAAAAAAGAAAGAAAGAAAAAAAACAATTTCCAAAATTAGAAATTAGGGGTATTAGGGACAACTTTTTTAAGGCCATCAATCATTTTCCTATTAAATAATCACCCGACAATACTCATAATTTTATTTGCGTGGAACCCAACGTAATCACCAATTCATTATTAATTGACTAGCTCCTTTTCTATGTTTTCCTTTCATAGCAGTTCGTTATTTATCTATTGTGACACACCACTTGCAGTTGAAAAATGATGCAGATCACTAATTAGTGGTTGCATTAGAGATGTGGCAGTGGGTTTCATCCACTGCCACATGTGTTTTGTGTTTTGTGTCTTAGTTTTTGTTTTTTTTTATTTTTTTTACTTGCCACATCATTAGTGGTGGTGTTAGTGATAGAAATTTAATGGTTTGTAACATTGTTGCTTGCAGTTTCTCCCTCTTCTATTCTTCACTTCCAGTTGTTAAAAAAAAAAAATCATGATTGAGTGTATCTCGACTAATTCTAAGATATTAAACTTAATGATCGAGACAAATCATTAAATTTATTAAGTGATTCGAACTTAAAATCTTAAATTTTTGTGAAAGTTAGACGTGACAGACAAATAAGTAAGGTTATATATAAACAAATTTTATACCTAATTCTTAGGTCTAGATATAGAGATAGGAGAGTCCACATTAATAAATTCATAAAGAGTAGAGCCATATAAATCAAAAAGAATTTGTATAAAATTATGATACAAAATTATGTGATTTATAGTCATCCGTCCATTTAACAACTCTATAATCTACAAGTGTGCCATAAATTTTTTTTTTTTGATTTAATTTTTATACCATAAGATATTCATAAGTTAGATTATAACCAAAAAAAAACCGTAATCGCTCTATCCATTCAAATACTAAGCTTTTAAGTTTCACTATCTCAAAAAACAACTATGTGAACAACTGGATTAATTGTCCTCTATACAATCGCATCATTCGGAAGGAACATTTTGTACAAAATCTAATAAAATAACAATTTTCTACCCATAATATTATCATGTGCCTTTTGGGTGCTTCGGAGAAACCAACCTTGATGAGGGAAGGGATTGGATACCCCAGTTAAATCCTCGCCGTAGACAATGATACATGCACGAAAGGCGGCTTGTGTATAATATTTTTCTAAACCAAAACATGGTTTAGAAAAGTTGTGTACTGTAGCATTACCTAGGGCTTTATTCCAAAAGTTGTGTACTGTAGCATTACCTAGGGCTTTATTCCAAGTGTGTTATATAAGTATATTTTTTTATTTTTTTTAAAATTTTTTTGAGTCATATTATTTCTTTATTTTTTTATATATATTTTCATAAAAAGTAAAAAAATATATTTATTTAGATTATTTCAAACAACTAATATAGAAAATTAATGTAAAGTTGAGATTTAACTCTTATTTAATAAAATTTAAATTTTAAAATTGTGTTTGGTTTATCAATTTAAAAAGATATTTGAAAACGAAAAAATAAAATATATATATAAAATGTAATTATATTTTATTTATATTTTATCTATCTTTTTATTTTTCATTTTCAAATTCATAAATTAAATCTAAATGAATTTGAGAAATGCTATATATGACAAATATTCTATCAAATCTCTCACTTGAATGAAAGATTTAATAGAATATTTGATAGAATATTTAAAATCCTTAACATAACTCAATGAATTTGAATCACACAAATATTCTTAAATATTTTCTATGTACCCTTATTCATGCCCAAGTGGGCTACCCAACATCAACCTTATTACTTTATTCATGACCAAAGCCTTCCAGTCATCCATCCATCCATCATTCACACCAAGCCTAAAACCGTCCCCTCCCCTCAAGCACTTTTCCTGTTCTAGTCTTCCAAAACCTTCCATTAATGGAGGACCCAAGTGAGCCAACATGGCCTGAACTACTAGGATGCAACAACTGGGAAGGCCTTCTCGAACCCTTAAACCTCCACCTCCGCCACCTCATCCTCCGCTCCGGCGACTTCTGCCAAGCCACCTACGACGCCTTTGACAACGACCAGAACTCCGCCTTCTGCGGCAGCAGCCGGTATGGCAAGCACTCATTTTTCGACAAAGTCATGCTCGAATCCGCAAATCGCTACCAAATCTCCACCTTCCTCTACGCCACCGCCCGCGTCAGCGTCCACGAGTCCTTCCTCCTCCACTCCTTGTCCCGCGAGTCGTGGGATCGTGAGTCCAACTGGATCGGCTACGTCGCCGTCACCACCGACGATGTCAGCCGATCCACTGGACGTCGTGAAATCTACGTTGTGTGGCGCGGAACCACTCGTAATTATGAGTGGATCGATATCTTGGGCGCAAAGCTCCAGTCGTCAGAGCCTTTATTGCGCCCAAGTACTCTTAAAAAGTTTTATAACAACGAGGATGACGATGACGATGACGATGATGATAATGACGATGACGACCACGATGGAAAGGTCATTAAAGTCATGAGGGGATGGTTGACTTTATACATATCCGACGACCCGAAATCGCCTTTTACGAAACAAAGTGCGAGAGCCCAACTCCAGAATAAGATCAGACAACTCATAGATCAATACAAAGATGAGGAGCTAAGCATAGTGCTAATCGGGCATAGCCTCGGAGCGAGTTTATCGGTTTTAGCTGGCTTTGATCTTGTTGAAAATGGGATTACAGATATCCCAATAGCAGCATTCGTGTTTGGTTGTCCACAAGTGGGTAACAGAGCTTTCAACGAAAGGCTCAAGCAATTCCCAAACTTCAAAGTCTTGCATATAAGGAACAAGATTGATATCATACCACACTATCCAAGCCATCTGCTTGGATATGTGAATTCTGGTACTGAATTGAAAATCGATACCCGAAAATCGCCTTATTTGAAGGATTCAAAGAACCCAAGTGACTGGCATAACTTGCAGGCAATGTTGCATATTGTGGCTGGTTGGAATGGAAGTCATGGAGAGTTTGGGATGAGGGTGAAGAGAAGTTTGTCATTGGTGAACAAGTCATGTGAGTTTTTGAAAGATGAGTGTTTGGTTCCAGGATCATGGTGGGTTGAGAAGAACAAAGGGATGGTGCTTGATGAGAATGGGGAGTGGGTCTTGGCTCCACCTGCAGATGAGGACCTACCTGTTCCAGAACTTTGATGATGGGTTAGGATTGTGTTGGGTTGTGTGGTCAATGGTTGGTGTTTGTGTGGTGGTGCCTTATCTTATCTTATTTTTATTTTATTTAGTTATCTTGTTTCCATGGCATAGAGTATTGTTCTTCCCTCTATCATATGTCATGAATTTGCCTTATGGGATGGCTACACATTGCCATTGTCAAATACACATATTATAAGTGCAATTGCTATGGTGAGCTAGCTTTGTTTGAAGATGCATGTACCAAAGTGTAACTTAATTATTTTTCTCGAAAGAGAGTAATACACTTACTGCACCTTTCATTGTTGGATTATTTTATTTTATTTTTGATGTGATTGGAATATGAATGGTATTATGGATAAGATTTGGGGGGATAAATTATACGGATTCAAATCATTTTTATTATAGGGTTGTAATGAATAATTTCTATTGTATCATGTTACCGTAGTTACGTAAATTTATTTTTATTTCAAATTAAGAAAAATTCATAATTATTTATTTTTCATAGTAAGAGAGTTAGTGTTTAGGATTATTTATTTTCTTTTGTTTTGTCACAACGAGATAAAGAAATAATTATTTTTCACTGTTGAACCTTATCATCATTTAGAACTCGTTTAGAAACTTGATTATTTTAGTTGTTTTTAGATATTTTAGTCTGACTAAAAAAGTTTTGTTTGCAATGATAATTGTTTTTTTTTTAAATTTTTATAATTGATTTGATGATTATGAGAGAAAATGTGAAATAATTGTAATTTAAATGTAACATTTTATCTTATTAATTATTTTAATATATTTTATCTTTATTGACTATTTTAATATATATAAGAAAAAGCTTTCCAACACAACTTCACAAACAGGGCCTAAACATGATCTTAAAATGGTTTTTCTTCAGTTTTTTTGGTCACGTGCTATTTATTAGTAGGATTTAACTTGTTAACCCAAGGGAGATGAGCGATATAAAAGATATAAGAAAATTTCAATAAAATTTAAAAAGGGTTAGTGGCACACAAATGGGATTACTTCAATGTTTATTGAACAATTATGTGAGTCCAATAACTTATCTAAACTAAAAGTTATTTATTATATTATAATTATACCTTATATATTTATACTATATTAGTAAATATTATATTTTTTCTATTTTAAAAATACCCATAATAATTTAAAAACTATCACTTGTTCAAATCTTTAAAATTTTAATTATTCGGCTTCCTTTATTTCTCAACCATATTTATTTACATATAAATCAGATTTGTAGTCACCACTGGTATACACAAATAGCACATGGTTGACTGACAATCAATAATCTACAACCTTATTTTCTCATTTTATGTGGACAGAGTCGAAGACATTAAAAAACTAGAAACCTAATTGAGAGGCACACAAATGTAGACCAGATACCATATTAAATTAAATTATTATTATAATTATACAGTTGCACCTCTACAGTGTAGGAGTTCAATTAGTTGACTTGCCCACACAAGATATACCATGAGCAAGGATCCTCTAGAGTGATTTTTTTTTAAAGTTTTCTAGAGTGTTACATTGTGTGGTTGAAATTTACTGACAAGTCACATCAATTTTTCTGATGTGACTTGCCAATAAATCTAAACCATATAATATAGCACTCTAAGAAACTTTAGGAAAATTTCACTTTAGAGGATCCTTGGTGATATACCATAACCTTCAATTCAAGTACTGCAAAACTTAGCAACTTTTACTCTGAAACTTCTTATAAAATAATTCTATCTTGATCTCCCCAAGGAAGATTAGTACATAGTTGACCTTGCTTTCTTCTAATTAGATTTTAGTCTAAATTAAGCATTATAAATCTTCATGACTTCAAGAAAAATTAAGAAATATCAAATTTTTAAAGAATAAATTACACTTTTAATCTTATAATTTAACTCAAATTTCATTTTCAATTTTAATAATTTAGTCCATACAATTTTAGTCCAATTTTAAATAGGTTATTTCGTTCAAATTAAACACTAAACTTAATGCACTAATGAATCAGAAATGTTTTTGGCTCAAAATGTATAATGCACTAATGAATCCTCATATTCACCTCTAGCCAAAAATATTAGGGCCAGTTTCATATCGTTTCATTTCTATGAGAAAATATTTTTTTAAAATTTAAAAAAAAATTGAAATTCTCACCTCACTTTTTTTTGTTTTTGTTTTTCGGTTCTCTGTATATCATCATTATGAGACTTCCTAAAATTTGACTTGTTAGATAAATAGAAAATTATAATCATACTAAATAATTGAGTAGAACCAACAACAACAACATTTCTGATTCATGCAAATTTAATCATACTAAATTTAATCAACAGCAGAAAATTTATAATCATACTAAATAGTCGACTTGTCAGCATTTTCGTAAGAAATATAAATTAGAACCAACAACAACATGCAAATTTAACTTCGTAAAATTATACCTTCAAAGAACACAACAATACAGCAGCAACAAATTGAAATTGAAACCAAAAACAGATCCGAATTCAACACAACAACAACAACAGATGGAAATTTAGCACAACAATTCAGCACAAAAAATAAATATAGCACAACAAGCAGAAGACAATTCAACATTTCTCACAACCAACTGGAGAACATCTATATATATATATAAGTCTTCATCATTCACCTACCATTCATATTCAAGATTGAAATCAACCATTCAACCATTCAACTAACATTCAACCAGTCAACCATTCGTCTACCATTCAACTGAGAAAATGCCACCTACCCACCAACCATTCAACCATTTAACTAACAAAGTCCAACATAATCAAAATCCAACAAAATATTAATAAAACTCCAAATAATGAGTCCAACATAAAAGTCCAACATAGTCAATATTAATAAAAGAAAAAAAAAATAATGAGTCCAACAAAACAGTCCACAATTAATAATAAAAGTCTTAATAAAGGTCTTAAACATGAAATAATTAGTAAATTCAGAAACATCCAACATCAGAAACAATTAGCCGCGATAACCTGTGGTGGTCTTCTCTATCTCAATCTCCAACTTTAGAAACCTTAGCCGAACTTCATCCATATGAAGAGTCGTGAAGCACTCACGACACTTGTCTCGTAAGAATAATCTAGCAGCCCATACATACAGCTCATCATCCAGGGACACACCAGGGATGTTTTCCAACTTCACCAAACATTCTACAATTGAAGGATGTCTTCATGAGGTTTGTGTTGAAGTTGCTGAATATGACTCAGCCACATTGACTATACAATCAAGTGTCTTGTTAAGTAAAGCTACACCAGTAAATTTCTTCTTTGTCTTACTCTTGGTTGATGAACCATTAGTGTTTGATGGATGTTTTTTGTTTAACTCGGAAGGATGAACCACCTCAAAATCAGCATCATCATGAAATTCAGCATCATGTGGGGTATGAAATTTCTCCAGAGTCTCATCAGTGTGAAGCATAACCCCTGAGCTAGGAGTGTATGTCCATTATCCTGTAGCAGTTGCATCTGAGAATAGTATGTCTGATCTTCAGTGAATTGCAACGGCATACGTCGAATTTAGCAGCATTAGGATACCTCTACAATAATTACAAAGGAAAATTTAACAATTTCCAATAACAAAATTTGGTCTGTTTAAACAAAAAACAAATAGAATATGTACATTAAGCATGTGACAACTACCTCTTTAATTAAGCAAATTAATTAAATTGATTATGTGCTTATTGCTAATTATATTATTATAGGTTATGAAGTGTTATTGTTATACCATGTGATTATTTGAATTGCGTTATTGTAAACAGATAGGTTAGAGTGAATATTAAACCTGTGTGATTCTTTAAGTTTAACAAGTCAGAATTAAGCAATTGGAAAGGAATTAGAACCTAATTCACCTTAGTATAATTAAAATTATAAGGTGATAAGGCTTAATTAAATTGAGTGAATTTGAGTTGCATTAAATTAGTGTGATTTATTATTTAGCCTAAGTTAATCCTGAAGAATAAGAATTAAAGGAAATAAAATAAAATATATCCTACTCATCAATTGACTAAAGAAGAGAAGTAGTGGAGTTTCTATATAAATACTTGTAGAGAGAGGGGATGAGAGTGCACTTTGTAGAGAAACTAGAGAGAGAACTCAAAGTCTAAGGGAGAAAAAGAAGAACTTGTAGAACTCTTGAATTTATCAACATTTGATAACTTAAGGTAAGGTTTCCTTACAAATTCTTGCAATGGTAGCTTATACACTCATCTCTTCCAAGATACAAATATAATTGAGAATGAACTTATAAGTAATTAGAGGTTTGTTCATAATATTAAGAGTTTAGGACATGCATGTCTTGGTATGGAAAAATATTGACCAAATTAACTTCACATAGGTGCATGCATGGCATCATTCATGGATATTTGAGTTCCTCCATTTACATTCTTGTATGGTTATTCAAATTGAGAGGGAACTCCATGGAAGTTTGAGTTTAAAAGCTTACACTTGCATGTTTTATGCAAATACATACTAAAGTGAAGGTTTGATTTCTTGTTGACAATTTGAGGTTGTTTTAAACTCATGATTTTTGTTTGAGGTTAGGAAATGTAAATTCAAAGTTTTTTTGAAGAATTTATGGGCTTTGTAATGTATAAAAATGAAGTTAGGTGTTGACAGAGATGGACCCAAAAACATAGCAATTTTCGGACTATTTTTGAAAACAACCAACTGGTGAACATCTATATATATATATATATATATAAGTCTTCATCATTCACCTACCATTCATATTCAAGATTGAAATCAACCATTCAACCATTCAACTAACATTCAACCAGTCAACCATTCGTCTACCATTCAACTGAGAAAATGCCACCTACCCACCAACCATTCAACCATTTAACTAACAAAGTCCAACATAATCAAAATCCAACAAAATATTAATAAAACTCCAAATAATGAGTCCAACATAAAAGTCCAACATAGTCAATATTAAAAAAAGAAAAAAAAAAATATG